TGTAGGAAGAGAAGGCACTCGTCTTCGGCAGGGTACAACTCTTCTTGATACCAGCTATCAACTACCAGTTACGATTCTAACTGCACCGCGCCGCTGCCGTGATCAACCATGTAGTCGAATTTGTTCGTGGACAAAAAGTACCCCGGTGAAAAAAGAAAAATCGGTAAGAAAAAAAAAGCGAGCCAGGAGGCCCCACGAGGAACGTCAGCTACCTCTCTCGGGGTGAGGAGGGCCAACGTGGGAAAGCCCAAAGGAGCGGGACCCGATCTCGGGCCCCCCGCCGAGACAAACACAATTCCACCTGATTGGTCCGAATTCGTGTCGTCAAAGGACTGACGCTTTCCTAAGGCGGCGCGTTCAACGCTCGACGCGTTGTCGCCTCGCTAACGACGCTATTCGTAACCTCCTCTGTCTTTCATCTCGGATAATGCCCTCTCCTCTAACGGGGTCGCATTTCACGCCCTAAGGAAGCCTGTCGGCCGTGTAATTTCGGTTTACCAAATGATTCTAAGTTGGTGGTCCCGAGGCACTCTCTACTCGTGATAATTCTCGCGAACTCCTTCCTTGTACCCCGTTGTGTTTGATACCCCAAATTGAGATTTCCAAATACTTGTACAACCTTAACTCCAATCAAAAATATCGTGTAGAAAATCGTGGAAAGTACCTCGATATATACGTATATAAACCAAGCAAAGGAAGAGACACGCAAACTGCTGATAACTACGTCGTACGTAATTCGGCGATATTAAAAACAACTATGACTGCACTTATTGCCGAATAATACCGATTCTTTTTTACTATTCTTGTTGTGACTGTAAGTCAAGTTTCAAGCGTTAGCTCCAGAGTCGAGTTGTAGGGTTGGCCTTATATAATATCCTGCAAAATTCTTCATTTACCGTGATTAAGTATCACTATCCTTTCTTTTTTCCAGGCGGATCAAACGAGGATAAGTTTTACAGATCAATGGAAACCGCTATGAGAGACTCGGTGTCGAACCCTTTTAATCAACCGATGAAAAAGTAATAACTCCGGTAAATGTCGATGTTACTCTCGTAAGAACGTTTGGAATATACCGAATTTTTATTTCTTATTTTTGCAGGAACTATTACTAATACCGCGTTGTACGTCAATTCTCGTAAGCTACCAGGACTACCTCGTGTGTTATCTTGGAAAATTTTTGATTTCACTCAATTATGATTCACGTTCTTTCTTTTCCCGCCGAGAACAGAGTCCAGGACTCCGTTGCGTGCAGCTCTGGGAGACGCGTCGCTGCGCAGATTGGAAAGTAGATAGTAGTTCTTTTTTATCACCTTTGTCGGCACTTTAAGCGAAGACGAGTTACCAGCACGACCCCGCGTACTTCCCTGTAAAATTCGTAATTCCATCGCAAGACTGACTCTTATCGTCCTTTTTTTTTTCTTAATCCTTTCATTAATTTATTCTTATTATTCCTTTATGTCGCATAGACCTTTCCCGGGACAGCGTCGCGTGCAGCTCCACGTAGACTGCGGATTTTTCACCACGCGCGGATTCGTTCGGCTGACAAAAAATAAGCACAGTTGATAACTCCGATAAACGTCGACGTTGCCGATCGCGGAAAAGAGCTCGATATACGTGCCAAAAGTTTCGTTTCGTCATCTGTATCCAAACTACCCTGTTAAAAAAATCCATACACCTATAGTACATAAGGTTGCACTAAAATTATAAATTTGATGTCTTAATAGTGAATTAGTATACATTTATTATAAAATTCTAAGTAAATTCAAAATTGTATAACACCGTGTTGTCATTTTATGAGATTGCGAAGAAAAATTATGAAGTTGATATTCGAAAGTCATTCAGTACGCATTGTTTGCAATTTCTTTAGATGAGCTTTTCATTTTACGACCGTTTACGTGAGTTTATTTTTAAGGAAATCAAATCGAAAGATGACAAGTATCGATGGTACTGGCGAAAAAGCATCGTAGCGACATTCTTAAGTCCGAGGAATATTGAAATAATGTTTACAAAAAATTCTTACAATCGATAGAAAATTCCGACATCTTGGACAACGTACCTGCTACTTTTCCGCGAGTTCCGGGTTCAATACCACGATAATTGCAAAAAGATTTTTGTTCAGCGTTTAAGGGCTGTCTCTAAAACCGTCCTCGAACGTGCCCGGAACATATGTCAAATTTGTTTGTTTCCAGAAAAAACGTTTAACATCAAGTACCGATACAAATTTATAACATACATTATAAATTTATTACACACACGAACTAAATTTATAATATATGTTATACATTTTACTTGAAAATATGTCATAAAATTAGTATACCATGTCTGAATAAAACTTCCAAGAAAAATGTTATAAAATAATTTTTGTTTTAACGGTGTACGAGTAACGCTGGATCACGTGTCCGTCCTCGCGACGAGTCGCCAGAATGCTGTCGCTTGTCCTGTACTTTTCCCTACGAGACTCTTAATTTTACCTCAATCAAGATTTTCATTATTCCTCCTTTTTCCCCGCAGATCGGTCCAGGACATCGTCGCGTGCAGCTCGACCAAAACGTCGAAGGCTCGGCCGCACCGATTCCACCGGCCGACGAGGACCGAGTATAACTAATAACTCCGGCAAACGTCGACGTTGCCGGTCCCGGGAAAGTGCTCGACGTACGCCGAGTCCGAGCTAATAGCTCTCTGTCTACCTCCCGTACGAATATCTTATAATTCCGACGCGCAGTCACGCATCCTAGCGACGTGCAGCTGCGCTCGGCGAACTTTATTAGCGTGCCTGTAAAAATGTGCGCGCGACATGCCCGCGCAAGTATGAAATTGGACGCGATAATTTCTCTTACGTCGGACGGTTCTGTGCGGCCCACAATTTATATTGGAGACCGATCGGAGGGCGAAGGGCGCAGCTGCGGCGCATTGTACTCGCGCTTTTCCAGTTTCCGTTCCTCTGTTTTTCTTTTCTTTTATTTTTTTTTATTTTTTTCCAACCCCCCGTAGCTAAACGCACGCTCGGCGACCACTCATCTAGAGTTATCGCAACGCCTCGCGATAATTCGTCAGGGAAAGTTAAACGTCCGAGCACTCTATCCCCCTCCTGTAATTATTTCTAATTTCGCCGATCGGCGTAAACGACTCGACCCAACAGGAAGAGGTGTACAAAGGGGCAACGCACCGAGTGCCCCTCGACCTCGACGTTTATCGGTCTCTACAAACACTTGAAACGTTCCTCCTCGATTTCCTGTGTACTAGTGCCCGGGACGTCGTCGGTGGCAATTTAGATACTCGTGAAATATGCATCCCTATTTTACGTCGTACGAATATTGCGTTCTTGACGCATGACCGATCGAGATCGAAGAAATTTAATTGGATTTTTAATTGAGGGGGGACTGCATTTTTGTCCAGATGTTAGGACACGTGGTTCTCTCTTGAAATATTATATCGACTAGCGTAATCGAACGTACCGATTCTCGGGTGAGAGTAAAGTTCTCTTCAATTGTTCAAATTATTAAGGTTGATATGATCCGTGTGCATGTAAAACTCGTGAAGATTGAACCCAAAATCCCAAATAAAAATAGATGAAATACTGAACATTAATTTAAATATGCGGTAGAATTCCATATTAAATACATTTGCCACGGTAAGCACGCAAATACTCGGCATTTCGGTACAGAGCAGTGGAGAGACAAGAGCTGTCTCGTAACGTTCAATATAACGAGGGCTTCACAGTTTCCAAACTACAGTAGGGCTTTGTAGTTTCGTCCCGCATTTTTACGAAGCTTTGGATGAAACCTTAATTGTTACATTAATATGACTTACGTGATATGTATAGATATACTGCACTCTAAACTTTGAACCACGTTGTGTTCATTTTGTCTTATAAATCAAGATTCATTTAACTAACTTAACAAACGGTTTGCGTCATTAGGTGTATGCAATGAGAAAAAACAATACAATGTATTATCCAACTAAGTGCCTCTAAACATTGCAAAAAATCCATTTCCAGCTGACATGGGGTCAAGAAGAACCGAAACTAGCTCACTATCGGAGATCCGTCTCTACCGAATTACAAAGCGTCATACACTAAATACAAAACTTCATCAAAATGAACACAAAATCGTCCATCACGAGCTTCAAAGATACCTTGCATAACAGCGACCGTAAGCATAACTTTAACTTTCTCAGCAATAAAATATTTAAAAATCAGCAGTAGGTAGTAGATAAATAATTTGTATATAATTATTTTTTACTTCGAAGTGCCTTTTTTGAAGTAGGTTTTTTTACTAAAAGGTTTTTCTTTTTCCATTTCCTGTTGTTACTCCTCTTATTAAGGTTCTAAAGTTTTAATTATATCAAATAAACGAGGTCGGTTAAAAGAAAAAAAAAAATCACCCAATCACGATGCCGTTACTGTCACGATTTCTGCTGTCTACCTTCTGATCTTATGATCGGATCGCCATGAAACGTACATGGGACCACCTTGAAAGTACCCTCTTTAAAAGAAAAAAGAATGATCAAAATCGCTTAACCCGGGTAAAAGTTATGCGTGAACATACATTAAAAAAAGATTCTTTAAATAGCGAATCTCGTATCTTGAAGTCAGTTAAAAAGGACACGTATTAAAAAAATGACTTGATAAAAAAAGTAGAAAGATCTCTACTTGGAACATGCACCCCAACATCCTGTATATGTAAAATAGTTCGGTAAAATTCAATAATATAAAAAAAATAGCACAACCAGAACTGGTCTCCTCAACTCGCCGAATGCCGAATGTTTGGCGCCACTTTTATCCACACAGCCTTTCGGACATTATCTGCCTACGCAGAGTCCAAAATCGCAAAGAACATCCACGAACGTTCAGATCGAACCCTGAAATCGACTCGTGGAATCGTTCAAGATGATCAAGAACAGCCTTCCAACCCAACTCCGAACCGAGATCGTCGCGTCCTAGCTTCCACGCCGCGTCGTTGCGATTAAGAGGAAAGAGAAATAAAAGGCTTTCGACCCACCTTCCGCTCTTGGTGATGATCATTTCGGTCCCCAGGTCGTTGAACTTGTCCCAGAGGTCCTTGGTTTCCAGGTAGCACTTGACGTCCTTAAGCTCGTCGGAGTTGCAGGTGGTGCGCTGCCGGTGCTTCCTCTCGACCTCGGCGGACTCGGGCTTCCTGGGTGAGAGGTCGCCGATCCTGCCGACCGGACTGTCCTCGACGCTGCTGCACTCCTCGACGTCGACGTCGACCTCCTCGTCCTCGATGTCTCCGCCGTTGGCCGACTTCTCCTCCTTTTCCGTGCCCTCGCTCTCTGCCTCGCCCTCGACCTCGATCTCCCCGGAGTCCTCCTCGACGTCCTCGTCGTCGTCGAGGACGTCTTCCGTCACCACCGTCGCCGACGCCACGATGCTCACCGTCGACAATCGCACTCCTGCGAAACATCGTCACTTGTACACAAACGTGCTAATTCACGAAACAACGTGGGATTACATAAACTCTGGATGGAAAATAAGATTTCAAACGAGGAGATTAGTGAATGGCCAGATGGCAATGAGACATTAAAAACTTATATCTGCAGGTAATGCAACGTCCCGTTAACGTCCGAAAATAAATCTTCCGAGAGAAAGAGTACGAAAAGAATCGCAATTAATTGAAATGATCCTTGGAAACTCCCCTAATCGTCCTAGTGTTTCGGAATTAATGGCGTCTCCTGTTGTACGTAAAAAAAGAAAAGCATATAATTCGTTGAACAAAATCGTCCGTTTGACCGCATTTCATTGATCTCAGAAAACGTTTTCATGAAGTGAACTGAATTTTAGTCCACTTTACCCAATTCATTTGCTGCGATCGACTCAACCCTTTCGGTTAAACCGTTATTCTAATTTTACAAAACAGTTTAGTGAATAAACCTAATATTTCGGTTAAACATTCCAAATTACTTCAACATTTGGGGTGATCTACCACAGTATTTGGCTTAAACACCCAAAAGTTATTAATCAAAGAATTTTGTCGTATCAACCAAATATCTCCTTGTCCGTATAACCATGTTATGTTTGATCTAAAAAAAAAATTGCATTGATTCAATCAAATATTTTTCGGTGGGTATATACCTAAAAAAATATTTGCGGAAGCGATAACTTTTGAATATCCGGAAAACAAGTATCCCTCTGGAGATAAGAGATGGAGCATAGATCATTCTTCAAGATCGCACTTGCGTTAAGATGGCGCGCTTTGGGTGGTCTCGCCGTACTTCATTGCCTATGCAAACCGAGAACAAATATAAATTTCCCGCAGATACGGCTATCATTTACGGCTACTAAATTTATTCAGCCATCTAAGGTGAGTCCGTGACGACCCGGAAAGGGAAAAAGGGAAGAACTATCCACCTAGGGTTGAAGAAATTAAAACGCACAACATCCTGTCGAGAGCAAGCGGCATGCTGGATCGCCGTTCGAAGGAAGTTTTATCACTCGGAGGCATTTCCTTTCACGCCCTATTCATCGCTCGTATGTTTATACGACGGCGTAGTAAAGGTGGTCTCGTTACTTCCGGGTAGTCGGACGCAAGTGCAGGCGGTAATGGACGAAGGAAGGGAAGAGACCAGAGAAGTAGAGGGGGCGAATGTTTTCCATGAAAATTTACGAAAGACACTCCCGAATACGACCACCGGTTATGGGGGACGAGTTTATGGTGTTCTCCGTCCTGCGGAGTTATTTACTGCTACCTGGCTTTTCTTATGAGCACGAATACGTGATCGTGAAGGACTGGGGTAGAAGAGGCGGAAAGAAGTGGGAGGCGCCAATTAAAACGATAAAATCCCGCATCTAGATAAACAAGATAAAAATTACCTATAACGATTATACGCGAACGAAAAATTTACCTCTACTGGGAATGATATACTTATTCCACATATTGATAATAAAAAATGCAGCCATCGTTTGCAAAAACTGCATATTCATTTGACATCGTCTCTGGGGCTGTAGTACACTTCAAATAACAATTCAAATATGATGTGTCACGTATGAATAACTTTATATATATATTTGTAGTGACGTGGTAAATTTTTGGCTACTCCACGCGATCCCAAATTTCGGCCGAAGCTTGCTTTTTCGCGTTTTTTTTTTACAGAATCCAAGGTCCGACGGTCACCGACCTGGGGGAGGGGGAAAGCAAACCTATTATTAAGTGATTTTAGTGGAGTCGCTGTCATTCGTCACAGTATATATGTGTATATATATACATTAACACTAAAAGAACCAGTGGATTTTTTTACCTTTGATGAAACATTCGTAACCCACCACCTTGACGGTCATGGTATATCTAGGGTTAAACTACAATTGTTGTTGACTGATATCTACATTTCGAAATTTTCTCACATGCCTGCAATAGTTATTTATAAAAATCTCCTACCTTATTACGAATAATTTCATAGTGTTCATTTAAAGTTCAAACAAGAACAAGGTTATTTCGAAGACCTATAAACCGCTTAAATCCTTGCAATAACATAAAACGATTTTTTAATACCGAATGCTAAATTCACCCCTCTCGAGAGTATTGCGATCCCGCAGGACTGTTTCACTGACCACGGGTCTACAGATTTCAAGAAACGCCACGGCCATCAATCAAGTTTACAACGTCGCGCGGGAAAAAGAAAGAAAACATTATCTTGACGACTTGCAACAGGCTCGTAAGACACGCTAACTTGGAAAATTATACGCCGCCGCATAATTCCTAGATAATTCTGTCGCATTAAAGTTCGCCTGTCCTCTTGAATTACTACTGAATTGAACTCGACTAGGACTGTGGATTTGACACGGATAACGGCAATCCACAATGGTTCGAAAGGAGCATAGCTTTCCTTCTATGCGGTTTCGTCGCCTTTCCCTAAGTAAATACGCAAAATACGTTAGCAAACGTACACGAAATTCCCCAACAAGGAAGGTATCCCAGATCGATCTCTCCGATTTGATTTCTTTTATAATACGTTATAGTAGACTAAAGACTAAGCGACACGTATTTTTTTTTATCTGCCATTAAACAGTTTAAGGGGGTGAAACCACCATCCAAAGTAAGGTATGTCAACGGGCGATTTGGTAGTTTCACCCACAAGAACATAATATTTTTTAACCTATCCACCTGGAAAAGCTTTCTCATAACGAGAAATGAAAAGTATAATTTTCTCAATAAAAAAAAATTATGGGGTGAGCCACCCCTCACAGGCCTTACTTTGGATGGTGGTTTCACCCCCTTAAAGTGCTTAATGGTAGATAAAAAAAAATACGGGTCGCTTAGCTTTTAGTCTACTATAACATATTATAAAAGAAATCTTCCTTGTAAGTGCGAAGCGAAAGAAGATAATGCAGAGGATAGCTATTTCAGTACCTACAATGAGATGGATGACGAATTCGAAAGCACTGCGGTATGTACGGCAATAATGTATGAAGCATAAGACATCATCCTAATTTGCAACACAATCTGAGATACTTATACTCAAATGTCATATCTCATGCATATGACAAGCCTTTATTCTAAAAATATCTTCATTACCTTTCTAGGTTAACGTTAGTCTAATTCTAAATTCATGTTAAAATTCCTTTCTATAGTTTTATAGCCGTTTTGGAAAATCAATTTAATTTCTATGAAGTTAGAATCAAGGTCAAGCTCATTCCCCCCTGATTCCTAGATAATTATTAGTATTAAAATAACGTTGTTTTGAGTCATTACAAGATCTTACGCGATTTATAGGTATTCAAAATAACCCTTTTATTGTCATAACTTTAAATTAATATCATCAAGTTATCCGTACTTAGATAGGTAATTTTTATAAATAACTATCGCGGGCACGTGAAAAAATTTCCGAAAGATAAACACCGGTCGACAATAATTGCAGTTTAACCCCAGAACGGCGACTGAAATAATAATAATAATAATAATTAACATGGTTAATAAACCAGCCAATAATAAAACGCGCATGTCGAAAATTCTACTTAATGCTTCGTGAAACCGTCGCGATGACTAAATTCGAAACGTGTCGCACCTCCGGCAAGGCTAATAAATCGCTGAATAATTTGCGGGGTTTGCGGTATCAGCGTCACCTGACGCAGGTAACCCAATGAACATTATTCTGGGGTAGCGTGAGATCGCCGGTTATCGAGAAAAGTAGGTATCGGTCATACATTCGTGCGAACATACGACCGATCAATTTTCGGTTAAAGGTCGAAAGCGAGCACACGTACGTAAGGAAGAAGATCGTGCTCCTAGATAGGGAGCGAGAGCGCACCGTGAAAGTATGTACACGCGGTCTCATTGCCCGACGTAGTCTCATGGATCCGACCCATTAATATCTCGCGTCATTCCGGTCAGCGATTTACTGTTACAAGTCACTCAGGTTCCAGGTCGACCCTCGTTAAAAATTATTGCCCCGCGTTTATAGTATCCTGGTCGTTGTCGTACACAGCTCGACTCGGCTTGCGCGCCTTGCGTATCTTTCATTAATTCTTATCCAATTACGGAGTGCCGCACAGGCCCGGTGATATTCCGAAACGATCGGAAATTTGCCCCGAAGTGCACGTTCCCGTCGAGTGCCAGCACCGCGGGGGACTCCAGAAAAAAAAGAAAAAAAAGAAGGATACTGGAAAAACACGTTATAATTCAGTGATTATATCCGTCTCGGGGAATTTTTCAAGTCGGGAGATCGGCTCTTGATATTTGCTGACATTTGCGAGTATGTAATTTAGGTGGCACTACGATCGAGCGGTCGTTATCGGCGGGTCGATTAAATCGAACGGCTTAATGATCGGGCATTTTTTTTCTTCTCCAAAAGTCGCGTACCAATTCTCCCATTTCGGATAAATTTCGCGGACTACTTCGTATCGTCAAGTCGAGTATTACTTGGAAGAAAGAAAAGAAAATAAACGGAGTCGAACGGTTCGGTAAAGGGGTCGGCCCTGGCGCGATGCGAATTGACGTGGGAAAATCGCGGAAGGTGTTTTCGCGGCAGTGTTAAGTAATTCCTCGTTAAATCGCCATTACCGACAAAGTAATCGTCCGTAATGACCTGGGAAAATGAAATGAAAAAAAAAGAAAAAGAAAAACCAGAGTGCCATTGTTATTCCCCGCATGTTTCTCAGTATTAATAAACGCCGCGAGTATTAACGCGAAATGGCCCATTAAGCTTCTTTTCCGGAAAATATCCTGTCCATTACGTTAAGCAATATCTCTAAAAAAGAGGTATAGAGTGCACTCGGCACGCAACGAGTTTCTCGAATGACCGACGAACTTTACCGTCTTACCGCTTCGGAAGAAAGCAATTATTAAGCCACGTATCAAGTGAATTCCACATGCGTAATGTATCCGTAATGAAAACATTAAATTATTCTTAATCACGAATTGCGGGGAACCTTGCACGGAATGGTAATGGGAACGCGTAAA